CAACAAACTGAAAAGCAATTGTACTAATACAATGGAAAATGGAACAAATTTGTCATAGATACATATGTCCGTATATATGCATGTGCATATACAATAACGGGTAAGGTAAAAGCACAAAAATGTATAAATACGTGATTTTTAAGAATGGAGTCAATTACTCATTATCTTTATCATACTTTTACTATAAAAGTAAAACAAAAAAAAACAAAACCGGAAGTTGTTGAATCAATTTTCTGACTTGGGCAATTGGGTTTTAATGATATGAACAACTTACATTTTTACAGACCAAATATCTAAAGAAAAAGTGCAACCATAGTTTTTGATCACACGTACGATAAATGGTTTACCGTTAACGATCACCAATACAATGAAATGTTTTTCAATTTAAACTTGAAATTTCTTTGTTCTAAAAAATTACTTTGTAGAGTGTAAAGTTTTTCTAAGGAAATCAAGAAATGGAAACAGGATATTGATTATTTAATAATGTGGGTAATGATTGATTTCGAAATGAACGTTATTACTCTAACCGCACCTGTAGCTGGTTGGCAGTGGTGAAAATTAAAGGTGACAAATTCCCGGTGTTCGAATCGAAAAGCGCACTGTTTGTACATACATACATATGTATGTCCACTAACTGATGAGTTTCACTGTGGGTGTTGCTTTTTTCACTTGGGATGATGGGGTGGAAGAGGGAGAGGAGAAAGAGAAGGAGGGTGGCCATAAGAAGCCTTCCCACACCAATGTACACCTATTTAGGTCAAAACAGCTAGCAACAATTCAAGCGTTGGACATTTCGCTGCTGTTCTTATCTTCCTCCTCTGTTTTTATGCATTTTCCATTTTCATTCTTCCTCTAGTTGACAATCACCCCTCTAACCGAAAATGGATAAATGATAAATGTTAATATGTTAATGTTGTTAAAAACTATTAAGATACCAAAAAATTGTGTCCAAATGGCAGCAATCCTCAGTTTCACATATTCGAAACCACTTCAAAGTTAGATTTCACTATTTTTTTCAGTGCAGATGTAAGCTGGAAAACAAGTTTTTCTTTTCCATATGTTGACAAAACAAATTCCTTACCCACTTTTTATTTTTCGCCATTGGCGAAGTAGTTCTAAAGGGGGTGCAAGTAGATAAGCTCGGCAAATAACGATGCAAGGAGACAAGAAGCTAAAGGAACTGCAACAAATGGGAAACAAATAACCTTACTCGTTGCATATGACCGACTGTGAGTGTGTGCGTTTGTCAGCAACTTGTGGAATGCCATTAAAATAGAACAACACACATAAATACTTATGGTACGTGCGAATGTACAAATGTATGTAAAATGGCACATGCGTCAGCGCAGTGTAAACAAATACATATATATTTGTGCGCAAGTACCAAGATTTCCATATATTCATGAGACAAAAATAAAGTTGCAATACAAAAAAATCAACCAGCAGATTTCCGACTTTTTCATTCATAAAAATTATACAAAAATGAAAGAAAAGAAACAAAGAGGAAGGATGAAAGCAAGCACACACACGCGAGTGCAATGTGTGCACTGATAAAGCAGCAGCCCTGCGACTCTGTATGCATGCAAGTGTGAGTGCAGTGAGCGCCGCCTTTTTATAAGAGAGATAAAAGCTGAAAGAAAAGAACCTTATAAAAACAAAAATAAATACGCGCTGGCGCCGACGTTGATGCCGCTGCATTTGTGCATATGTATGTATCTATGTGCATATGTCGTATATTGATTGGATTTGGCAGGGTAAGCACACAGCAGTGTTTAAAATACTAGTATGTATCCGTTTTCGTAGAATTTCAAAGCCAGTTATTATTTGTTTGACTGGTTTGATTTTAAATTGTATAAATCCTATAAATTGTATGCTTAAAAACGCTGCCTTGTTAACAATATTTACTTCTTAATAAAACGAAAAAACTAACATTACGTTAGTTTTTAGAACATTTTAAATACTGTACTACTGAAAAAATAGAATTTTCTGCCCCCGAACGTAAGACATCGTAAGGTCGCACTTTGATAACAAAAATGTCAAGAAATATTTTCCAGGTGCGTATTATTGTACATGTGTGTGAGGGTGATTGCGTCAGAGGTCATTTGCTTAGAATCGGTCACATGTCAGGTTATAAAACAACAACAGAACACACGTGTGCATGTGTACGTACACATCTAGTAAATGAAAACAACCACAACAAAACAAAAAATGCAAAATTGTTGCACAGAGTACCGGTTAACGACTGTGTACGAGGGACAGAGATGCAGCAGCGAAAAGAGCGGAGGAGAGAGCGAGAGAGAAAACGATGCGCTCTCCTCTCCAATTGGATGCAGCCGGTGTGCTAGACGCAACAACAACCACGACACAAAACAACAACATCACGCAACGCAACGTCAACGAACTGCAACTTGTCATTTGCATCAAAAACAACAACGTCGACGTAAACAAAAATGCAGCGCAGCAGATGTGACGCATGCTCAGCAGATACAGTTAACCGACACAGTTTGAGAGTCATTGTGGAATGGGATTATCGAATTCCAGCGAATCCAAGATTTTCAGCGCAGCAAGAAGAAGAAAAATAGCAAACGGGGGCAGAATTTGCTCCACGTTTTGTTAGCGATTCCTGGAAAAGCGCCACAGCCCGAGAAATCGCCTGAGAAATGTGCTGGCATCAACATATAGAAAACCGGTCAAAGCGGGAGTGCAAAGTGGAGAAAATAGCAAAGAGAAAAAAAAAGCTGAAAGGTACAAACCGGAGGGACAAGGAAGCGGCGGGTGGTCTGTGAATGGCAAATGGAATGCTGGAATGTCGGAATGCGTCGATCTTTCTCTTGTGCTCTCTCTTTTTTCAAGTCGTAATGTACTGTAACTCAAGACAGATGGTCGCCATAAAAATGTTTTAGGTTCGATGTTTAACCTATGAATAGTTTATAGACATTTTAATTAACAAGATTTCGAAATGTTAAGGTATTTCTATATAATGTCTTAACATTTATATTTAAACGAAAATCTTAAAAATGAGAAGTAAAATATTCATACTATTCGTTTATTTTTTTTTTTTTTAGGATTGATCTACTGATCTCGTTTCAGTACCTTTAAAAATAATATGCTCGTATCACTTATGTTTTGAGCTTGAGTTTGACATTCCCGCATGTGGTTTGACAGCTAATTAAAGATCATTCATGAAAGGGAGTCAAACCGCAGACGACGTGTGTGAGAATCAAAAAATTGAAACTGTTAATTAAGAAAAGTGCCAAACACTCAAAAACGAATGAGATTACAGAGAAGAAACAAGAACAACAAGGCGAGAATGAACGAAACGAAATGAGCCAGCTCCACGCGTCTCCTCTTTTTCCGATTCCTCCGCCGCCCCTCTTCTTCTCTTTTCCTTTTTGGGGGCTTTCTGGTGTTGTTGTTATTGGTTTTTTTCTGTTAACTTGGTGGCGACGTCGGCGACGGGAGTGAAATTACTTCCAAGAAAAATAAACACGATATTAAATGTGCAACATTCCAGGCGTCGTTTGCGTTTGCCCTCACGGTCGTCTCTTTTCTCGTTCTTATTTTTATACGACTCTTTCTTTGGCCTCTTCGAAGATCAAAACCAACAATAACTGCAACAGAAGAAGGCAGAAGTTAAACTGAAAAAAACAGTTAAATATTAAAATTATAAATACACAGCACATTCATGCGTTCTGGGTAATCATATTTTGGCTCGGTATTCTTTGGCATTGGAACGTATCCAACGTTTTAAAAATTTAATATAAAATTTAAAATTTTAAAATATTGTCTTTTATTACTTTCTCCCTGTGCAAAAAAAAAAAATAAGATGCTTGATTTCCTTCCTTGTGTTGTGACTTCAGCTTCTTCGTCTTCTGCTGCTCTCTCTCATTATTATTGCAATTCCGTTAAGGCAGCAGGATGTTTATAACCTCGAAACTCGGGGTTTTCTGAATATAAAAATAAGTTCTTAAAATCAAAAGTCTTTAAAAACTAACTACATCTTGGTGGGAGGGAAATTAAATATATTTTACAAAATGTATGAGTCAGTATCAAAATGTTTGATAAAATTAAAATAAATCGTTACAAAATTATATCTATTAAATTTTGGATGGACTTGTAGAACTTTGTTTAAGATGAGTTCCATAAAAAAAAAGATAAAATATATTTTTAAAATTTCGGGGTAGGAGTATCGTTATCCAATTTTTTTATTGGATCCTGCTTGGGATTTGAATGTATTATTTTTGCACATCTCTCATACGCCCCCAAACACAAACACGCACAGCGTAAAAATGATGGCATCCTCTGTTTTGTATGTCCGGAGATCTCAGTTACATTTAGTGTTTTGCATCTCTTCGCTTATCTCCCCATCCAAATCCCTCTTCCGCCACCCAAAAATATATAAACGTACATATAAAAAACCGTACCCAAATCATTCGTACTCTCACGCTCGCTCGCTCAATTGTTTTTTTTAGATGCTAGTTGCACTGCTTGATCTTGCTCTGTCTATTGTAATTCTCTTAATCTGTATTCTCTCAGTGCTGCCAGAATCTGGGGGAAAAGCTAACAAAAACAAATTTAATAACTATGATACTATGCCTATTTGCTATCAGGACTCTATTATGTCTCGTACTATTTGGTTATGCAGAGTCTTGCTAGAATTTTTGTTTTAAAAACGATTGACTGTCATTAGAAAACTTTTTACCTCTTTCACTATAGTTCTGGCAACACTGCTTTCCTAACTCCTCGACTGCACTCTCTTTAACTGACTGCTTTCTCTTAACTACTTAATAATTTCTTTAATTCGCATATATTTTCTTGTCTAATTCATTTCCCATTTCCCCACTCACCCACTGCCGTCCCTCTTGTTTTTGGACTACTATCATTGCCACTACAACTACAACTACCACTTCCACTTACTTACAAACTACTACTATTTTTGTTTCTTTTGTGTTTGTTTGTTTTTCTTGTTCTTGTGTGTTTTTACGCTATTTTCTTCACAGTGTTACGACATCAAAAATCTTAATAAGCGGCATACCGATGCAAACACGTTTCGAAGACATCGAACCGCTACTGAAGCCCTATGGCATCGTCAAACAGTGTGAGGCTATTTCTAGTAAGGATCAAAATACTCAAACAGTACATATAACATTCGAAAATCCTGAGCAGGCGCAAAGGTATATACCCAAACTATACATCTTAAACTATTCTTCTACAAGACTCTCTTAACGGATTCTGCGGCCCAGCACCAGAACCCATGGAGAACCTCTTGTTTATTGAAGGTTTTTCGTGGGCATCAGGTGCTAGTCGTAGATCCCGATTATTATATCTCTATTTCGGTCGGGTTGCGAATATCTGGGGGGTTATAAGTTATAACATTATAACATTGTGCAGAATGCGTTTGTGTGTGCGTTTACCTTCCTCTTTACCCACATTTAATTTTTCTTCCAAATCACCCAAATCGTTTAATGAAGTGGCCGTGTTTGTCCCCCGAATAAATTATTGGTTGTAAATATAAAATATAATGTTGGAAAGAAATGCATGAACCTGTTGTTAACATGTCACCATGTGTCATTTGTGGTATCATTAACAAAAATAAATAAATATTTGTACCTTGTTTCCTAAAGATTAAAGTGTCAGGAATTTAAATATGTATCCCATATGTATTTAAAAAAAATCGCTGTTTATTTGGCTGTGAGGAAACTTAATATATTTGGTTCAATTTTGACAGATATGTATGTTACTTGTTTTAAATTTCGTGGTCTTGATCCCTCCATTAAGTTTATCAAATTTTTAAAGATGCGGAAGTGCATAAATTTTGTAAAATAAAGAGCATTGATTAAGGGCGTTTCGTACAAGAGCATTTGAGGGAATTGCAAGCGTTGAACATATGTACATATTTGTTTTATTGGAGTGCGATGGGGAAAACTGTATGGGATATAAGCTAAATCTTTCGAGCTAAATGTTGTGGAGCCAACACTTGAGTAACCAATACTTCTTGCACGCTTTCCTCTTCCAAACAGAGCTGCTGGTGGTCTGAACGGCGTCGAGTTCGAGGGCAGCAAGCTGCATGCCGAGCAGCTGGACAAGAACCAGCGGCGAAGCCAGCGCAACCAGCGCAATCCGTACCCGGGGATGCCCGGCCCCGGTCGCCAGGCGGACTTCCCGCTGCGCATCCTCGTGCAGAGCGAGATGGTGGGCGCCATCATTGGGCGCCAGGGCAGCACCATCAGGACGATCACACAACAGAGCCGTGCTCGTGTCGACGTCCATCGCAAGGAGAACGTTGGCTCGCTGGAGAAGTCCATTACGATCTATGGCAACCCGGAGAACTGCACCAACGCCTGCAAGCGCATCCTGGAGGTGATGCAGCAGGAGGCCCTCTCCACGAATAAGGGGTAAGTATTCAAATCTATTCTATTGAATATTATGAATAATCAATCCCTCTTTTCAATTACAGTGAAATCTGCCTGAAAATACTCGCCCACAACAATCTGATTGGACGGATCATCGGCAAGTCGGGCAACACCATTAAGCGGATCATGCAGGACACCGACACGAAGATCACCGTCAGCTCGATCAACGACATAAACAGCTTCAACTTGGAGCGCATCATCACGGTGAAGGGCCTGATTGAGAATATGTCGCGGGCCGAGAACCAGATCAGCACCAAGCTGCGCCAGAGCTACGAGAACGATCTGCAGGCAATGGCGCCGCAGAGCCTCATGTTCCCCGGTCTCCATCCCATGGCAATGATGTCGACACCGGGCAACGGCATGGTCTTCAATACGAGCATGCCGTTCTCCTCGTGTCAAAGCTTTGCCATGTCCAAGACCCCGGCCAGTGTGGTGCCGCCCGTGTTCCCCAACGACCTGCAGGAGACAACGTATCTCTACATACCCAACAACGCCGTCGGCGCCATCATCGGGACCAAGGGCTCGCACATCCGCAGCATCATGCGCTTCTCGAACGCCTCGCTCAAGATAGCGCCCCTCGACGCCGACAAGCCGCTGGACCAACAAACGGAGCGCAAGGTGACGATTGTTGGCACACCGGAGGGTCAGTGGAAGGCGCAGTACATGATCTTCGAGAAGATGCGCGAGGAGGGCTTCATGTGCGGCACCGACGACGTCCGTCTCACCGTTGAGTTGCTCGTGGCCAGTTCGCAGGTGAGTCATCCATTGTGTCCAATGTAAACCAGTGAATATGGTTCTTCATCAAATCTACTTACCATTGGAACTAAAATAATAACTATATTAGAACCTATGCCATTTGAATTGGTAAGATTTCAAGGGTCGAACTACCCTAAAAGACTTATTACTTCTCTTGGCAATAAACAGTTGTCAAATGCCATGATTTTGTATTAACTTTCATGAGTTCATGCGTTTAGTACATTACTGTTCAAAATATGATAATTCGCTCAAAATGCAATTAATCACAATTCTAAATAAAAGAAATATATTTTCATTTGGAGTTGAATAACCTGAGACAACACGCGCAAACAAGAAACTATACTGAAGCACAATAAATCAGTTGGGCATAAAATAACATAAATAATATTTATGTGTTTTTGAGTTGATAAAATCTAAAACCAGAACATAAATCAACACTTAATAGTACGAGCATAGGTTTATGGTTTAGGCCATCTTGTTGTATCTGTTGTACCATCTTGTATTGACTTATCTAAACCGTTTCCAATTCAAATTCAGGTGGGTCGCATAATTGGCAAGGGTGGCCAGAATGTGCGCGAATTGCAGCGCGTGACGGGCAGCGTGATCAAGTTGCCGGAACACGCCCTTGCCCCGCCATCCGGTGGCGATGAGGAGACACCAGTGCACATCATCGGACCGTTCTACAGCGTACAGGTGAGTCTTCAAGTGCAGTGCTCCTTCGATACCAGCTAACCCGTATAACTAATTAACTATTTTCCAGTCTGCACAGCGACGCATTAGAGCAATGATGCTGTCGACAAATCCGCCGCCAATCACCAAAAAACAGAAAGCTGCCAAAGAACAATTGCAACAACAGCAACAGAGCCTAGCAGGAGCTGCGACCAGTGGGTCACAGCAGCAGCAGCAACAGCAGCAGCAACAGCAGCCACAGTCGCCGTCGCAGCAGCAGGCGCTGCCGCCGCAATTGCATCACCAGCCAGTGTCGTCGGCGTCGTCATCGTCGACGCCGCCTGCACACCACCAGCAGCAGGCGTCGACGGCAGCGACCTCGCACCAGTTGCAGCAACAGCAGCAGCAACAGCAACAGCAGCAGCAGCAGCAGTCATCGCCGCCGCCAACTGGCAATGCAACTGCGGCCGCAGCCCAGCAGCAGCAGCAGCTGGCGAGCTCACAGCAGTAGGCAGGATTCACCAATGAAGAGGAGAACAGGCGCCGCAGCAGCAGCAGCAGCAGCAACAGCAGCAGCAGCAACATCAGCAGCAGCAGCAACAGCAGCAGCGAGATCGCCAACAATAGCCAAGGAAGGGTTTTCTACTGTTGATACTACCTCCACAACAACCACAATCTTCAATTACCCCTAAAAAGCCCCAACAACCCAAGAAGCAACAACCAACAATCAACAACCAACAACAACAACCACCCACTATTCACAGCCCTGTAATTACAAGCTAACCGTAGGCGCCACCTTTGTGCTGGCACAGGCGACGGCAAAAGTAAGCAAAAACCACTTGGAGCAGAAACATAAACAAAATCGTGTACACACATATATATATATATATATATATATATATATATATATAGAGAGAGAGAGAGAGATATGGGGGAACAACAACCGCCACATCGACAAGAAAAAAGAAGTAAAGAGCTTCGTGAAGAAGCTCTACTAGTTCATAGCAGTGTATTGCAACCTTTAAAATGAAGAACAAGAAGTGCAACAGCAGCAGTCACACAGCAAGAAAAATAACAATAACAACATTCTCCATTTGCATACTAAGAAATAAAGAGAAAACGTTAAATAGAAAGCGCTGTCGTTCACCCAAGCCACTAAACTAGAAACTAAAACTAAAACTAAAACTAAAACTAAAACTGAACTAAACTAAACAAGAACTAAAACACACCCCGTTCCGAACTTTGTGTTGTTGTTTCTGTTGGGTGCAAACTTTTGTGTCGCCTGAGATTTCGGCACCGCCCAAACAGTTTTTCCTCCTTTTCGAGGATAAGTTCATAGTTTTTTTTCTTTAAGTAAACAATATTTTCAACAACAACAACAACAACACAAAGGTTAACAGTAGCTAAATGAGAAAACCCCCAAAAACTAACAAACCCACAAATTTGAATGCAAGAAGAAGAAGAAGAAGAAGAGAAATTAATGGATAAAGAAGGAAAGTTTAGTAGTGTATGCGTTATATTTTTTTTAAATATATTTAACTATAAAACGTTAATTTTTAATTATTTTTTTTTAACAAAGATTTAGTAAGCCTACATTTAAGTGGAGAGAATAGAAGGAGAGAAGTGAGCAAAGCGCAAGAGAATGAGATTGAGAATCAGCAAAAAAAAAATGGGGAAAAACGTTTGTTGATCCCAACACAACCGAAAATTGTACACAAACAAAAATTATAACACAATTGCAAACAAAACAAAACAAAAAAAAAAAAAGAAAAAACTATACAGACATGAGAAGGACAAAAGCGTCAGAAAACACAAAAATTTATACCCATTTTGAGCCACATCCGCAACAACAAAGGTGATGAAAGTTTCCAACCGGGCACTCATTTCTGGGTTATAACAATGTATAACAGTTGACGACAAACTTACATATGTGTACAACGTGCAACAGTTGATGCAACTGTTGGCGCCCTCGAAGTTATACCTAGTATAACAGACCTCAACCCAAAACCCAAACCACCAAAAAAAAAGCAAAAAACAAAAACAACTATCTATGTATACAATATCGTTAAGAGCTGTATTGGATGATATGGATGATATTGACCGACGACGACGGATCAGTGTGTATATTGGGACTATATTGATAGGAAGGGATGTGGATGGAACAAGAAACGCCAGCGAGAGCAATGTTTACTGTACTGTACAGCTGTAAAATAGTTTTTTCGATGCCTGAAACGTTGTTTGTATGGGACGGATGGATAGATAGACGGAGACCAGTCATTTTTTTTGCGAAGGAAGGAGTTACAAGAATTGTTGATTATACTTAGTGCGAATGCAGCCGAAGGATATAACAAGGATGCAAGGAGAGAGAGAGCAAGAGAGAATAGGAACGCTGCAGCAAATGCAAGAGCGAGAGATAGTGTTAGAGAAAACTATTGTAATGTGTTTGCCTTGAAATGAAACAAAACTAACTAGAAATGAAATAACGGTGCTGAAATGTTAATTTTTTTTAATCGATCGTTAACGTTAAGTGTTACGTTATAACGTTTGAGCGTGTATGAGAGACAAGCTGTTATACATGGATGGGACACTGCACTACACAAGAACATAAACCAATCCAGCCAATCCAATCCGAACCGAACCGAATCGAACCGAATTGAACCCAAATCAAAGTCTAATTCATAGCCACAAAGCAATCAAAAGCGAAGGATGCATTTCGTAGAGATCGTAATCGTAGCGTAAACAGACAATATACAATATATAAATACAAATGCAAATACAAATACAAATACAAATACCTACCTATAGCCATTACCGTATGACCAAACACCATAGCTAGAGGCCGTAACCCAAGTAACTGAATCGGAGCAACAAACAATCAAACTACAATCGACCCAGCCAAAACAAGCAACAATAGCAATAGCCCAATTTTGTGTTGTTTTTGAGATAGCTTTTATCTAATTATTAACTGTATTTTTTTTTTGTAACGTAAATCTTAAACTAATTGCTATTCCATAGAGTTAATGTTACGAAATAGTTGGACGGACAGTCGAACGATTTAAATCAAAGCCCCAACCCCTAGCAATCCAACCCTTTTGTTTGTATAACACTTGCTTCAAAGGCAGACAGTTCGAAAAACACCGCATGCAAATCAAGGCAAATTAGACATTTCGGCAAAAAAAAAAAAAAAAGAAAAGAATCGAAGCAAAACTTATAAAAAATTCAACATTTCGGTCAACAGGCAACAGCAAAAACGAAAAACGAAAAACTTTTGAGCGGCACATTATTTTGGATGAAATAACATTGACAAAAAATTTTTGGAAAATAAAAACTCAAGCCAACAAGAAGCGTGTACAAGCTTTAGGACAGCCCAATTTTTGAAATATCACATTTCATTTGTTCTTTTTTAGGAAGAAACAAAAGAAATCTAGCAGAAGCAGAAAAGATGAAGAATTTTGAAGAAGATTGAAAAAGTAATTAAAATACCTCAATGTAAGTGCATTATCTTCTACAAAAAAATATAACTTAAAACAAACTTGCGAAGCGTAAAATGAATATTAATGCTAAAACATCCTAATGAAAAACGATTATGAAAAACAAACACTTAAAATGAAACGTAGTTTATAAGCAAACAAATAACAAAATGTAACAATGAATGAATCAATACGAATCTAACCAGAACCGGAAACAGAAACTGAAATTCAAAACCGCATTGGAGAAGGCATATCACCAAATCACTGAGAAAAAAAAAACGCATTTCGATGAGGAATTTTCAAAAAGACAAACAAGGCGAAATGAGCTTTTCCCCAAAGGTTCAGGCCGAAAGAAAAACGAAAACGAATCCTAATCCAAACCGAACCGAATCGAACCCAATTCAAATTCAAATTCAATCAAATCGACAGCAACCAATCAAACAATCACTCACCCACCAGAGCCCTGTGCGAAATAGTTTTGGGTCGAACTCCCCCACCCAGACCATATGTACCATATGTATCATATGTACCATATGTAACCAACCGAAGCAGATCAACCTAGAATCAGAGAGGGACGTAGGAGATATATAGGAGCAGGAGCGATCAGGAGGAGGAGGAGGGGATGGGATAATGGGCAGTGTATATAAGAATGTTGCTGGGCATTAACATTGATCTTTATATACGAGAATCAAGCCGCCGCTATATATGTATATATATGCGATATATATGTGTATGTTGGAATGCGTGACATTTTGTTTTGTTATACTTGAGAATCTATATATATATGTATATCTATATATATATATATGTGTATTAATATTATAAACATTGTCACTTGTTTATAACGAATAATTCTAAATAATATATACCTTTTTAGTTTTTTCCATGGAAAAATGTCCAAAGTTGTCAATCTAAAGACCTTTACATATGCATATATATCTATATATAGATATGTGGACCTATTCTTTAAAACGATATTTATAAAGAACGAACGGAATTTTTCTAAAAGATTCCAAAATGAAAGAACAAAGAAAAAAAAATATTATTCCAAACGCTGAATCAAAGAAAAGTCAGATCGATGAAGGGTCGAGTTAATAATTTAGCTATAGCTCTGGTTTATTTCGACAGGGGGTTTAACACGATAAAAATAATATATAGTTGAGGACAAGATCGGAGGAACTACTGAAAACTTGTGAGTTAGCGTGCGCGTTAAAAACGAAGACAAAGATAAGAATAAAGATAATGATAATGATGTAGAAAGAGAACTCAGTTAAGAACGAACGAAGATATGATGATGAGCGATTGTGAGGAGTGTGAAAAGCAGAAACGAAATTATTTTTTAGTATTTAGAGGCTATTTTATATCGTTATTAAAGCAGGTAGAAAAGTGAGGCAACGGCTAGGACGACAACAAGTGAAGGGAAGAACACCAGCGGTATGAGCGAAAAAATGAAGGGCAGTTAAGTGAGAAACAGAAAGGATACATTTTAACCAAACGGGAAATCGGAAAACTGAAACTGAAAAACTGGACAAAATTCGAAGAACCAGAACCGGTGGCATGGGTGTCGCATTTCGAGATCCCAGAGTACAGTTGACACCAAATGTACAAAGCTTTTTGGAGTACAATCTACTTACAAGATTGCTACCATTTCAACACATTGCATTTTTCTACAATCAAGTTAGTTTGTTTCAAGCGTTTTTCCAAACACCCATGCCAGTTTTGTGCAGTTTTTCTTTCCCGAAAACGTTAAACTAAGGTGTCCCATTGAGCAAAAAAAAAAGGAAATGAAAAAGAATAATGAGAAAAGTACTTTTTTGTGTTGTAAGTTGTGCCAAGTACTGATAACGTTTAAGGTGTGATAAACTCGTTTTTAAATTTAACAACTATTTAAACTATTAAAACTACTTACTAAAACAAAACAAAAAATTTAAATTTATAAAAAAAACTTATTATTTAACAAAAAAATGCTTTTGATGTACATTTTATACACAAACACACACACACACACGCGCGCAAGATCCAACTCTACAAAAACACACACCAACCCACAAAAGTACTTTGACAGCCGACTTCTTTTGGGAATAGGAAAACAAAACAGGAATAAAAGTCTAAAAACATCAGTTAGGAACACGAATAATCAACAACAACAATTTGCTTTGCTACCGGAATTCAGAAGTTCTAATTTAATTTCGATTTTTAAATATAATTTAACATTAAATGAAAACATACAAGTTTGTACTCTTTAAAAATGCAGTGAAATAATATGAATTGAAATGACGGAGAGGTAAATCGATGTCGATGAAAGAAGATAAACCTTTACACGCATAAAATATGTTATGAAACACGGATTAAGAGAAGAATACTTTTTTAAAAAGGAATATTTTTTTATATATGTACATATATATAAATATTTACAAAGGAAAACTAAACGAAAGAAAGGGAAAAACGTTTTTAGCGGTACAAACATGAGTACAAATCAAGTTTTATTATTTTTTTAAAACATTTTTTTTTTTGTCTATTATGAGAAGGGATTTTTACCTATCGGATGGAGTTTTCTTTAGGCATATACAAAAAAAACGGAGTTGTTTATTTTCTTCAATTGTTAGGCGCGTAAAAGTTAGAGAGCGACAAAAGCAGCCGAATTAGGTAGCCAGACAGAGACAGAAAGAGATAGAGAGGAAGAGAAAGAGAGAGGAACAGTTGATTAATGAGACATTCTATTAAAGCGAAGATAAGGATTAACGATAGGGATAACGATATAAAGCGAGTTTAACCGTAAGTCAAGCTTGACAACAGAACAGCCAGGAGAATCAGAATCAGAAGCAAAAGCAGAAACAGAAGCAGCAAACATAGGCAGAACGAAGCAGAAGAACAAGCGGAGAACCGTTAGCCACGCAGAGAAAGCATGAAGAAAGCAGAGCAAATAGCCCAAAAGCCAAGCCGCCACTCACACAGTAAGACACGAGAATAGGAGTATAATGAAAATCGCGAGTAAAGGACGTTAACCTAAACCAAACCTAAACAAGGATTAGGCCATTCTAGCGAAGATATAACAGCACAAATTTAATCGATACAAATTGGGG